TATAAAAATAAATAAGTATACTATAATTTTCCGAAATTTTACGTAACTTGAATACTATCTAAAACAGCTTTGAGAGCAGTTTTAGAATCTTGAAATGGATCAATTACATTTGCGCGACTAGTCTTTATTGGTTTCTCTAGAAATACCTTCAACATACTCCTTGTTTGTGTTAAGAAATAATCTCTCTGAGCAATTTTTTCCAAAGCCTTAAAACATCCTTCCAAATTCCAATCGATTTTCCCACTGGTTTTATCCTCACTCTAAGAAATGAATGATTGTTAATCACTTTTTTGTTTTGATGTATTTTCTATGTTTAAATAATTCTTAATTTTTCTTACTTTTATTAAACCAAGATTAACTAGTAATGCATTATTGAAATTTGAGATTTGATTAGTCTCTACAGCATAAGAAAATAGTTTTGCGTATAAAGCATCTGACAAGGATTCTGCTTTTATTCTCACATTCATGTAACCACTGTCACATAATGCCGATACTTTCATAGTTATCCGTAATAGTTCTTCTATATATTTCTGTTCTACTATATTGCTTTGATTTGCTAAGTTCTGAAATAAGAAATGTACTTCATTAAAAAAGAAAATAAGTACTTGTACACATTAATACGTACCGTTACATAGTCGATAAAAGTTTGAACATCGCCTTGTAGTAGCAGCAATTTCTCACCTATTGGTGATTTCATGAATTCTGCCACTGTTACTACTGTACTTCGTGCAATATTATTTTGTTCCTCGTTATCTTTGTCACTTACTTCATCTTCATTATTATCATTTTCGTCTTCTTCACTCTGTTCATCCTCATTATCGTCTTCCTCCTCCTCATCCTCAGTATAATCCTCATCCAAAGAATTCAATGCATCAATTTTTCTCAATTTTGTAAGAATTTGTCGAAGTTTTTCGCGTCCTTCCGTTCCAAAGCAATTACCATCCAACTGTAGATTTGTCAGAAGAGTTTTATCGTGCATGGCTTTAGCAATAGCATTTCCAGCATCCATGCGTAGTTCATTATTACCCAAGTCCAGATTTCTAAGAGATGTATGATTGCCATGGATCTGTAACGCTTCTGCTATAACTAAAGCCCCTTTAGTCTTTAATAAACAATCTCCGAGATTTAATTCCTCCAAACCCCGGAATATTGGTAAGGCTTTAGCAAGAGCCTTGGCACCTTTTAATCCGATCGTATTATCGTTCAAATTTAACACTCGCAAATTAGGATTGGCAGATAAACCTTTCGCAATCGCCGCGATACCCATGTGGTATATACCGTTCTGTTGCATTACAACTTCCTCCAATGTTTTCAGTCTTTCAAATACAGATGCTAATGCTTGTGCGCCCTCATTCTCTAACCGATTTCTACCAACGATGAAAACTTTCAGTGTAAGTGGCATGCCTATAGTAAAATTTCATTCCAATAAGCATTTAGAGTAAATTAAAATAATATAATATACATAATATCTGACCTTCGTTAGAACTATTTTCATAACATTTCTCCAATGCTTTAGCTAACATTTTTCCACCTGATATACCAAGACCGTTGTTATTCAATTTCAACTGCTGAAGTGTATAACATGGACTTGATGCCAACAGATTTGCTAATCCTTCAATACCGATTGGACCAAAAGCATTGTCGCTCAAATCAAGTTCAGTAAGTTGACTACTAGCAATGCACAGTGCCGTTCCTAGATACTCCAACGCTTTTGGGATTTCTGTTTTCAAACGACCAGTGAACATATCCTTCCATAAAGCTCTCTTTAATGGAGTTCCTTTCTCTTTCAATGCTTCCGCTATAACTTCTGCGGCTGGTGTACCCAATGTGTTTCCTTCCAAATCCAAATATTCCAAGCACGGACATGCTTTAATCGCTTCCACCACTTGAAGAGCTGTATAATAATAATTTATATATTTTTTTTAGCTGAATTTCTTATATATTTCAGCTTTTCTCGTTTTCTTTTCATGTTGAAGAGAAAGAGAAAAGATAAATCTGTGCAAGAAGTTCAACTAAAAACAGACCTTGTAAGAAACATAAATAAATTCATTGATAAATAAATTTTCTAGCAGTAATAAAGAAATATAAAAATAATACCTACTAATAAATATTTAATTTATACATATTTGTAGACACATATACAATTAAAATACAAATTTATGCAGCGAATAAAATTTCGTAAAACAATAAATTGTATCAAAATCAAGGAAAATTGCTTACATAATTATTTATAGCTTCGTGCGCTTTATACACATAATGAGAAGATACAGTAAAAAAATTCTAATTACCATCATCCGCGGTGTCCAATACGAGCGACTGACCGGCAAATGAGACTCCCACTGATTGTCGGCTTACATCTTTCAATTGCTCACCAATCTCGCCTAGACTAAACATGTTGCGCGTTTGCAAGTGTCACAGAAATTTTGTCAAATGATCTTGATTGGCGATCCTAATATAAACTGTGATAAACACCGATAGATTGTCTCCTTATTGATATCGTTTTATTGCTTCTCCTGTAGTGCGTATGTTTTGCCAAGTGGTAAAAATGCGACGAGATTGCATGCGCGGGAAACCAATGCCAACCTTTGAGTCGAGTCAATCGGGCACCGAAAAGAAAATCTCTATAGTTACGAACGTACAATCTGTTCGTTCGCTTACACTTTTTGCACTCAGTATCTTCGCTTTCTTTCTCTTTAACAATAAAAATATATATATATTTGTCTTATTTTAGTGCAATTTCAATGCAAAAAATTTTTGGAAATTTTGAATAACGCAAAGAGACCTAATGTTAGTTATTTTTTTTTGAATATTTAAAATGACTATCATCAATTAGTTCACAATTCTTCATACAAAATATAAACAATTTCTAAAAACTTCGTTTAATTTATTTATTTATGTCAATTAACTATGTAAAAATAATTATTTAATTAAAATTATCTAGATTCAAATCTTTTTAATTACATTTTTAAATTCTTTGTATAAAATACAAATAACTTTATAATTGTTTACAAACTTATCAGCTATAAATTCATACGATTCGCATTTGCAAGGTGGATCTAAATTAACTTAATCAGTAATTAAATTATCAAGTAATATTTTGTAAATGTAAACAGAATGATTAATTTTATTAAAAAAGGTTTTATTTAACAAAAAAACGACGAATTATGTAAAAATTTTTAATTTAAACTATTTTGTTGGTTGAACTATAATTGCTTAAAATTTTGCTAAAAAAATCGCCCATGATGTATTTTATAAATAAAAATTTTTTTCGCATAGCAAATCGAGAAAAATTATGTTTGGAAAAGTCAAATAACATCATGGAAAATTGTAAAAGATATATATTCACGGATAGTAAATAAGAAAATTTTTTTCAGTGAGTTTCGGAATGCAATATTGTAAAAAGTAAGTTATTGCTCTTTTATGCAGATCTGTAAGTAGATGATGATTTGCAACGTCGGTGCCGAAATAAAAAATGTTAGACGTGAATGTATGTATAAATAATAAAGTAACATTAGATATCAATATAAAATTAATTTCAAATCATTTTCTCTCTCTACAATGAATATTACTTAACAAAGAATATTATTAAAATCAAATTATTAAATTAATAAAATAATACATATTGATTATTGACTAGAAATAAGATGCATAAAAATCAGTATTAATATTAGGATAAAAGCTTCAAGTTTATTGGAATGAAACATGTAACGCAATAAAACATTATTTGTTATAACTAATTTCACATTTTCACATAAAGATCTTTTTTCTCGCAAATTTATTTATCAAAAAAATATTTTGTATCCAAAAAAAAAATAAAGTTACAGTTACTGACTGTAACAATTGCGAAATAATTACATAATTCATTGAACATTCGAGACAGAATCATTTGATCTTTTAATTCCTTTAAAAAATCCATGTATTTATTGTTAATATGTATGGAATATCAATAAACAATAAACATAGGATATGCGAATTCAGTTTTTCTCAGATGCTAATAAAGATGCTTTATTACACTGAATGCTGCTTTTCCATAAACTGGCCACTGTGTCTGTTTATATGTATGTGTATGTGTGTATGTGTGTGCGCGTGTGTATGCTTATGACTTTTTATTATATTAATATATCATAAATATTTTTTCTTCATTAATTTGATTCTTTCAGAATAGGAGATGTATCTAGAAATATTTTTTAGCTTTTTCTATCTCGTTAGTAAAAAGTTTACATCTGTAGCATATTCTCGCTATGCATTCCATTTAAAAATGACACGTTGCAACATATTCTAAATTTGTGAAAGAGCACAGAATATGAAGCATGAAATCAAATCATATATTTGAATCCATAGCAAAAAAAATGACAAGCTATTATTAACAGAGGAAATGTTTTTTTTTAATTATCTTTAGGCAAGAGAGTA